CAATCCATACGGTCAATCTCAACCCTCTAGTTTTGACCTATCCTGATCTACGTATAGGTTAAATCTTCGACTTTCCTTCATCAAATCTTAGACTTATTCATTTATAATTTTTTTGAAATAGAATTTCAAATGGATAGTCATTTTCGTATAATATATTGCAATCTAAATATATTACGATAGCTTGGCTTGTATTCTTTCATTGTTCAAATAACACTCTAGCTACCCTCAAATTAAGAACTTTTATTGTTGTAATATTCAATTTTATCGAACAATGAATTTATTAATATTAATGAAAAAAAGAATATTTATTTAACTTTTATCTATTACTATTTTAGATCTGATTTATTATAAAATAATCCGTAATGTTTTGAAATTTAAATTTTTTTACAATATTTTCAAATCTAATTTTGTTTGGATAACAATTTAAATATTATTTCAAAAACATTATCTCAATAAAAATTTATATTATTATATTTTCAAATGAACTAAATAGATGACATCGAAGATAAAAATAAAAAATAATATAAGAACGTTAAAATGAGTCATAATCATCGTTAAAAATTTAACAAAATCATAAAATATAAAAGGAAAGAACTTCTACTATCAAACTTTCCAGTAAAAATTATTACATAAATAATTCTTTACTTCGAGCTATCGGTTGTACCTATCATTTGAGATCTCTTTCAACTGCGTACCAAGATATACCTCATCTACAATAAAAGAGAGTATATCCCTTCCTAATCTTTTTAAAATATAATTTAATTGATATGATAATGGTAAATTCATAGAATTTTTTTTATTTATTTTTTTTATAATATTTTCTTATTTTTGAATAAGAAAGGAAGACGAAGGTACCTCTACATCTCGTTGAATAGCTGCAAGCCTCTTCTTAGTCTTTAACGGTGGCTTTTTACCGGTCATCTTTAAAAAAATCCTCCTCAATCTCAGATTTGGATAGAGTAAATTCATATTCAAAGCCATATTCTTCGATTGAAGCCTCTTCGATTTGAACGTTTTAATAATTTTTTTCTCTTTTACTTTTGTACCCTTCTCCTTCTCTATTGCCTTGTTCTCCTCCTCTATCTTCAATACAACTGTTTCGTGTTTCGACAATACTTTCCGAGGCGATGCCATGTCGGGCGTCGAAATTGGGGCTCGTTGAAACTCCGAAGCCATAAAACTAGGATCTTTGCAGCTAATAATCTTCCAGTATTTATGTTTTGCCCAGAGTAGTGGTGGCTACGATGGTGCCTCCAAATTCTTATGGATGCTAGTTTGAGTCGTCATTTACTTCTTTGATCAAATTTTAGTCCAACTCAATAAGATTTGTTTTAAGAGAACTCAAATCACAAATGAAGACCAGTTATAAATAGCATTCCAATTTTTAGGATTTGAATTATCCTTATCAATTTAGGAATGAGATTATTTGGGTTTCTTTTTATTAAATTAATTTAGACTATCTAATAAATTTGGTATAGTTAGAAGATAGTCTAAAACATTGCTCCAATATTTGCCAGCTCAGCCCATTTCAAATGGGAGACTCAACCTAATTATTTGATAGTCCAAACCACTTTTATTAAATAATATTTAAATTAATATTTAATATTATATATATATTTAGAATGTTCTGATTAATGTTTAATATGTTAGATATATTTATGATATTTGATATATTCAATATTAAAATAATTAATATACCTTAAATAAAATATATATTTGAAACTCAAATTTAATGAGATTTTAAATATATATTGAGATATCTTATAAGATCTGTTATTCAATTTTACTGCAAGAAAAGAAATACGGTAAATAAATAGGACTTGAAATCTTTGTGTACAAAATTAATTCAATATACATGAGACCTCCTATAGAAATCATGGTTCGATAGGATAATGTATACAATACTTACATGTTAGCATGACATACATTCTTTATAAAGCTAACAAAAATAATCAGGACATTTATTATCTACTTTATAACATTTCAACTTATGGTTTTCGAAACTCAGGTACATAGTTATATCATCCACAAAATATGTGTTAATCATATACAATAATTTTCAATGAATATGCAAGTGTTCCAATAATGAGTATATTTATTATAATTTGAGCTCAATGTCTTCAACAACTCTTTTTATATATATATATATATATATATATATATATATATTTGTAATTTTAGAATTATTAAATTATGTTGCCTTATTCCTCTCTTTTTATATTTTCATTTTCTTTTTAAGTTCCAATTTTCTATTTAAACATAATTAATACATTACAACGATAATCACCCTTTTCTTTCTTATTATAAAATTTTAAAATATTTTTAACGTTTCGTTTATGAAAATATTGTTGCTGTGTTGTTTAGTAAAGATATTTCTTTTAGTTTAATGGGTTATTATTGAAATTTTTGAAAATTTAAGATATTTTTTAAATTGGTTTGAAAGTTTAACATAATTTTTAAAAATATTAATAATTTTTTATTTATTTTAAATGGGTTAAAAAATGTTTTTAAAAATTGAGGATGGTTTTTAAAAATAATATTTTTATTAATTTAATCTGAAACCAAAAAAACAAGCAAGACTTGCCACTCTATCGCCTAGTGAACTAAATAAAACATTCTCAAATCTAATTTTAAACTAATTAGAAGTTTATATTAAATTGTAATGATTTTTTTTTTTTAAATATCTGGATTCAAATTGAATCTTTTATTTTTATCTTTATGTTGTTGTTTGGCCTATGAAATGTTTAAGAAAAAAATAGAAATTGTATTTAATTTTGAATCTACTAAGGTCACATTCATATTCAAAATTCAAAATTGTTAGGTTGAATAGCACTGTGACATTAAATGTGATCTCTGGGTCACAACCTCATGTAATAAGAATTACATTGTAATAAACCTTGAAATTATAGATTTGGTAACAAACGAGAGAATATTAATTCATAATAGTAACAAACAAGTACAGATCTAATCTATTCTACGTTTAACAAAAATCACATTCTTTGATCGAAGTATTTTCGATTTGAATGTTATACTTTGTTTTTTTCCTCTCCTTCAATTTTGTACCCTTCTCGTTATCGGTTGCTTTGTTCTCCTCCTTAGTCATTGGAATCTCTTCCTTGATTGTTGTTAAAGATAATTTCATTTTTGGGTCTTAGATTCCAAAGAAGTTTAGTTGTTGATGAAACTTCTATAAATCTCGTGTTTATGTTTCTCCATTTAAAAGAGAATGGTGGTGGTAATGTCATGTCTCCAATTAATTTCGTTCATCATTTACCTCTATTTAATTATTTACTTCGGTTTAATTATAGATATTTGTTTATGTCACACTAAGGTAACAAGAAATTGCTAATGAATTTAGTAATGAGATTAATTTCCTTGGGCTGGAATGTTATACTCTAATAAATCGTTTAGTTTTAATAAATATTAGCTTAATAAGCTTGAATTTAAACTTTACAGCTATTTATATTTAATTAAGATATATTCATTTTCAATATATATTTTAAAAATAGCAGTTAAAAAATAAATTTATTTATTTAACTTAATTTAATTTTAGAAGTCACTTATTGATTATTTTAAAGGGAATGGGTCTCACATTGAATGACGTCTTCAAAGAAAGTTTCCACATTTATTCTATTGTTATAAATTAGTAGCATTTTCATTGAGATTTTTTTTTCTCTTTTGCAAGTTTATAAACATTTAAACCCATGTAATTTCAATATAAAATGTTTTTAGCTAATCTTCCACACATAAGTTGAAGCAAGACGTTTTTTTTTTTTTTTCGGGATATGAACAATGGCAACAACATTGCATAGATTCATGCATATGATTTCTGGACGTCGTAACACATCGTATCCAATCAACGTTAGTTTGTTTGTTTTCATATACAAATAATAATAAAATACAAAAAAGCAGCCAATAGATTTGTAAGGATAGTTGTGGGGAGAAACAAAAGAATCTTTTCAGTATAGAATGTGACACAAATGAGAGTTAAAAATGATGTAATACAAATATGCCTTTAATTGTCTCATTGCAATCTAAAAAATAATAAAGACAAAGTTAAAGCTAAAGTTAAAGGGACCCTAATTTGAATGCCCGTTAGCCCTTTCAAACTCACTTTTCCATTTACCAATTCTTTAAGAACAAACTGGTTGAAACCAATTATTACGAGAGGGAGGATTCGACATGAAATTATGACGAGGCATAAAAAACGAAAAGAAAGAAGGCTCAATCATCAGAACAATAGGACGATTAATTATTGAAGAAGAAAATGAGAAAAGAAAGAACCGGTTGGTAAATGAGAGAAAGATATTGTGGATTATTGCCAGGGAGTCATACGTAAGCTAATTTAAGAAATGATCATGTTTAAGGAATACATCTACATTCTTATAAGCCTTTTCATGGAGTAGTGATTCCTAATATCATATCCATGCCCTAAACTTAGCCATGTCAACAAAATCATCCAACCTAGAACAACAAATTGTGAGCCTCAAATGTGTAGTTAAAAGTGACTGAAGTATTAAACAAATTGTGTACTTTGTTCAAGAACTTCTGAAGAGTCAAGCCTCGATTAAGGGGAGGCTGTTCGATGGCTCATAAGCTCGAAGGAGACTCTATAATATACTTTGTTTGAGAAAAGGGGCGTGAAAAGTCGTGATGCCTAAAAAAAAAAAAGAGATAGGTTCTATGGCCATGAGAATGGCATTGCTACTTGTTTTTGTGTCTCCTAAGTTGAACCCTTTTTACTGTTCCTTTTTTGCTCTAACAAGAACATCACTGTTTCTTTTACAGTCTCCAAGATTTATCCAATTTCAATTCCTCCATGTTCGTTTCAAAATAATATAATGCAATTTCTCTGATTGTCTCAGTTTGCTGAGACTGATCACGTGCTTGAGAAACAGAAACCATACACACATAAAATCAATCTAAATCTGTACTCGAAGATTCAGTTTCGAGCAGGAATAATTTTATGAACAAACAATCGAGAGATGGTTTTTTTTTTTTCATTTCTTCTTCTTTTTAATCTTACCATTGCAAAACAGAGAACCGAATCCGAAAAAACTTACAGTTACTTTGGAAATGTATGGCGGAGGAAGATTGAGAAAAGGACTGATTCGAACTCCGTTGCCATTGTTCGGTCCCGAATTCTTCCTCATTGAAGGCTTTTGAGAGGACAAATTTGCGAAATACGAGTTTGCGGATGTGGATATGGATGTGGATGATCTTCTACTACTCGAAATCGAAGGCTGTTTCTGCAAATTCGGTCTCTGAGGATCCTTCGAAGTCGATTGCGATTTCGGATTCAAAGCCGAACCAGTGGAGTTGCTTCTCGAGAGGAAATGCAAGGATCGAATCAAACTCCTACTCTTGGAGCTTTCGCAATTTAGACTACTGCTTCGCTTGAACTGCCAGAAGGATTTGGATTGCGGTTTCTCATCGGCATCGAAACTGGCGGAGAGAAGCTCTTTGAGGCTCTTCTTCTCGGAGGAGACAGAATTTCTGGCAGGATCGGGAGGAACTGGAGGAGGAGGAGGAGATTGGATAGGTTTAAGAACTTCTCTGTTTGGCTCGATCGATTTCTTGATTTCGACGGGGAGAATTTTGCCATTGGAGAAAAGTTCGTCGGCGGAGGAGAGATCTTGCCTAAGAAGATTGCCGATGCAGAAATCGAAGTCGGATTCGAGAAGAGTCAAGTCCAAACGCTCGCGATTGCAATCAGAAGAAGAAGGCAACAAATCGGCCTGGTTGAGATCATGCGAAAACGAGATTCGAGGACTGATTCCTACCGTGGAAATCTCAGAGCAAACTTCGATCGCCATTAGCATTAGAGCTTAGCGAAATCCAAATCCAAATCAAATTCAAATCAGGACTGAATAGCAGCAGATTGAAAACAGAAATGGTGGGAAAACGGATTTGTGATTCGAATTTGGGGAACAAAAGAGTCCGAACCTGCAGCCTTTTTGCCTTTGATTTTTCAGCCTTTTCCGGTGGAGAAAATCGGCATTGTGAGAATTGAAGAGTGAGAACAGGAAAATGCGTCTGAACTGCGAAATCGAAATTTGAAGAACAACAAAATTGTGTGAATTACGAGGACAGAAAGTGAAGCAAAGAGAATGAAAGGTGTTGAAATTAAGCACCGAAAGGCTACAAAAAGAAGAATCCTAGCGAGCCGGAGAGGGGTTTCATGACCATTTTTATTATTATTTATTTATTATTATATATATATATATTATTTATTTATTTATTTACAACGACTACGAAAAAGAAAATTATCAAAATTGAATAAGTTTTGAATGTGATGCTATAAATAGGCTAAGATTCGATTTTCTCATTAATAAAAGAAAATACTATGATTTCATTTCATATTTCCTTTTATACCAAAGTACCACACATATGCAGCTTATTCGTACTATAATCTTTTATTTCCTCTTTTGCCCTTATATTTTTAATGAAATTCAATTTTTCTTCCCTTAGTTTAACCCGATATGGTTGTTCAAATATGAAGTTGGTTACACATCAAATTGATATACCCATTTACGTATGGGAGTGACTCTTCGAGTATAAATGTCCACTGATTTCAATAGGTGTAACTAATGCTGGTGTGATGCATATGTTCAAGTATAGGAGTGGTTACACATCAAATTAGCGTATTCATTCGCATATAGGGCTTAGGTTGAAAGCGGGTGGATTGTGAGATCCTAAATCGATTGGAAAGAGGAAGGAGTGCCAACGAGGACGCTGAGTCCCGAAAGAGAATGAATTGTGAGATCCCACATCGATTGGAAAGGGGAAAGAGTGTCAACGAGAACGCTGAGTCCCAAAGGAAGGTGGATTGTGAGACCCCACATCAGTTGAAAAGCAGAACGAAGCATTCTTTATAAGAGTGTGAAAACCTATCCTTAATAGACGCGTTTTAAAAATCTTGAGGATAACTCCGAAAGGGAAAGCCTAAAGAGGACAATATCTGTTGGCAGTGGGCTTGGGCCGTTACATGCTATAAAAAAGAAAAAAAAAATGTTATATGTTTACGTTCTTAAAAAAATAATTACCCCTTGTGATTTAATTGTTAAGTTACAATACTCAAACAAGCTAGAATCACATGGTGCTAATGATTTGAGGGTGGTCAGAGGAGTTTGATAATGTAACCTACCGAGTTAGGTTGTGTGAATTTGATGATCAAGAAAAAAACTTAGAACGACTATAAGATTTTTCATTGTAGAGATTAAATTGTTACAAAATTTAAAAATATATCGACTAAATTTTAGTTTTGAGTGAAATTGTTCGATAATTTTTAACTTAATTTTAATCGTGAAAAGTGAAGGGTAAAATGAGAAATAAACCCAATTTAAATGTTGGATAATTAATCATCATATTAACGATGTGGATTATTATTATTAAGTGTCATTAATTTTGTCACCACTAGGCTTCATCATAGAAAGCCATATTAATTAGGGTGCACTCTACAACCCCACGTGAATATTAATTTAAATAATTCAAATTAAATGTTTGGTAGATGATATGATTAATTTCAAATGTTATATAATAACTTTAATTTTTAATAAAAAAAAATTGATTAAGAAAAACTATAGTAAAAATCTATCTAAATTATTTGGGACAAAAAAAAAATCAAATTGGATTAAAGGAAAAATCATTTTAAACTGTAAACCGAATAGTTATATTAATTTTAACCATAAATTTTTAATTTTATGAATATAAACCTTATCGATTTTAACTATAAATTTTTCATTTTTTTTATTTAAATCTCAAATTTAAATAAATATATGCATTTAGGTTAAGATTTTATTTAAACTTTATCAATTTCAAAGACGTTGCTTTCTCCATTATGTCTTTTCCATGTGTGGCTTGTGTTAAAATATCATCAGTGACTCAATTAAGTCAAACTCAATAATTATGTCGGTCAATTATCTATTGAAATAAATATCTATATGTTTTAAAAATAAAGATGTATGAACCAATCAAATTTTAAGTCGAAAATAGTCCTATTAAATTACCTCTAATTTTAAGAATATTTATTTAATCATTACATTTTGGAATGTAAAAATAAATTAGGAATAAAACATATTAAATATATTTTAACCAAAAAAATGATCAAATCAATACACCTAAAGTATGATAGCCACACGATTTTGACTTTTGTTGGATATTTTTAAGTCATCAAATTATATATGATAATGTCAACTATCTCCATATTTTAATTAGTGATTAAAAGTTATCTATTTCTATTTTTTTTCTTCACGTGGAAAATTTTAATTCATCAAATAATTTTTATTTTTATTGATTTTCTCTCTCAAATTTGTTAATTTGTTTTCTTCGTGAAATGAAAAAATTATCGACTCAACTTTGTCGTGGAGGCATATTGAGTCCGGTTGCAAGTATGGATTAATATGTTATTTCAATTTGAACTTTAAAAATTACCTTAATCGTTGTAACGTGTTTAAAGAGCACCTATAAAATTTTAATAGTAGCATTAACACGGTTTACTTTTATAAAAAAAAAGTTCAAAAAATATTTACTGTCAATATATGAATGAAAATTTTCTATCGGACACTTCATAGATTAGCTACAAACGTTTTAATATTATTTTGGAAAGTTCATGAATATTTTTTAAACCCGGTAATAATCGTAAAGATATTTTTTGAGTTTTTTAAAAAAAAGTTTAAGGGTATTAATGAAAATTTTGAAACTAATAATATTTTTTTAACATTTTTAAAAGTTAATGGGTATTTTTTAAACTATTTTGCAAGTTCGATGATATTCTTTATACATAGTCCTAACGAGTTTCATCCAAAACTAATGCAATGGTATTTTTAACTATTTTTTTATTTTATTTTTTTAGTTTCAGGATATTTTTTTAGACTTATTTTTAAAAGTTTAAGATATTATTAAAATTTTTAAAGGTATTTTTGAGATGGGTACTTTTATTAATTTAGCTTAAATATTATTAATTACCAAACTAGTAGCTATAGTGACTTTTTTTTGGTCTTATTTACGTCAAAAACGATTTTGAGACAATCTAAGATTGGAGCCAAACCAAGCGGAAAAAGCAAACTAGAGATTTTTTTTTTCTTTTCTTTTTTCAGTTTGACTATAACACAAAGCTTTCAACAATGGACATTAGAGGAAGAAGCTAGGATAAAGAAGATGACAGGCGATATCTAGAATTGTTGAGGGTAGGAACGACCCTCTACAGTGGTATGATAGTATCCACTTTGACCATAAGCTCGCATAGTTTTACTTTTGGTTTCATTAAAAGACCTCATACCATTAGTGTTGTGACCCTAATTTTCTACTGAAATAGAGTTGCTATCAGATGCATGACATAACTTTTTTATGCGAAAACATTCATTTAAAAGAGTTTCATAAAATAATGTCATGGACTTATAGGTTTACACAAAAGTCTTCAAACAACACAAAAGAAATATTTAAAGCAAATTAAATGAAAACCAAGGAAAATATTAGAAAGACCAGTGTCCTATACTAACTTAAGACCTACCAAAAATAAATGCAACTACCTATGCAAGTTTCATGGTCTTTGATGCGATGCAGCAATCAATCGTATACGAGTGCCTTGCCTTTGCCTGAAATATAAGAGTAGCACATGACTTTGAGTATTTTAAGAAATACTCAGTAAGTGATTCCACTATTGGAGTCCGGGAAAGCAAACACATGCAACATGAATTGGGACCTATCATTTAAAGTTATATTCTCTTAGATGGCCTCCAGTTCAGACAAATTGGAAATGTCAAGACGAGCATTTGCTCAAGAAGGAGCATCATGTTGGATGTAAAAGGTATAGAAGAATGAAGTTGCAGCAAGACTACGAGGAACGTCAGTGTAGCGTTTGCCACATGAATGTGGTAAAGTAAAAAGTTGGCTGAAGTGTAGTGCCAACAAGTCAAAAGAACTAGTTAAAAGCTTCTAAACTTTGCTTCAATAATGAATATGACAACGATGGGAAAATGTTGTGTCTGAGTTTGCAAGCCTCACCCCAAGGGGTGCACCAATTTAGAGAAGCTTAGATGGCCATGTTTGGGGAGCGTTCTCCCTAGCTCAGGCGAGAATATATCGATACTAATTTTACAATGATTTTTCTCGTGAGTCTTAGATCAAATCTGAGAGAAGGGCGAAGTAAGTCTTTAGTGGAATAGCCCACAACCATTGGGTAGTTTGTCGTGCTTATGTTGTAAGTCTTAGAGACCGAGGGAGGGTCCATCAATGGAATAAATCATATGTGATGTGCATCTTTCGTATTTATTTTGAAGTACATTTATTTCTAGTTAGACAATTAGTAGCCAGTCCGACGTCCGAATTTTTATCAGGACGAAGAAAAGACTAAGTTGGGAGCAAACGTCACAATCCACAATATGATACTATGAAGAGTGTCACAATCATACTATGACTATTTTAGGTGAGAGAATGTCACAACCATATTATGAAAGACAATAAGATGTAACCCCACATGCAGACAAACAAGGTGGCGACATAGAAGTGGGTCCAATCGACCAAGTGAAGGTTGAGACAAGATAAGTGTCAGTACAATTAGTGAAGAACTCAGTCGTTTATTCATGAGAGTCTCTTTTTGCCTCCTCTCTCTTTTATTTTTCATATTTTTCATTTAAATCGAATATGACAGTATCCATATATATAAATGAGACATTATTTCCATTATAATAAAAACTTTTAACTAATTCAATCTGCTATTTAATGTATAAATTCCTAATCTTTTTTAAGAATGTAAGATTATAATCGTCACGTGATTTAGTAACAATCGAGAAGATGACAAAATATGGATAAACCAACCAAGGAATTGAAGCATGTGTGAATTAATTGGGGGGCAATTGGGTCAAATCACAAGGGGTCCCTTTTTTCAATAGACTTGTTCATTCCACATCCATCCATCTCCTTATTCTTCTCTACCCTTTTTTCTATTTCATGTTATAATATATTTCCCATTTTCTCCCTCCAATTAAAATTTGTCTTGAATTTTTTCCTTAATTTGGTGTGTAATTGCTGATATATTTAACATTTCTTTAAAAATATTACGAATTTATTAGACTTAAATAAAATTTCATTAATAAATTTGTGGATTTTGAAAAGTACAGTGAATTTAAAATTCAATAACTTGTCAGATATAAAATCGAAAAATCTGTATTCATAAATTTTTTATTTTGTATTCGATAGGTATAATAATTTTTAAAGTTGTGTATAATTATTTCCTTGACACATCAAACAAATTTTATAGTTTAAGATCTCACTAAATTAAATTTATTATTTTGAATTTTTATTTTTATTTTTTTGGAAGGGTAGGGATTCATCTGACAAAGTTGAAAAATCACGATCAAATTTGTTTATAATAAAAATTATATATATAAATATATATGTATATTGAGATGATATGATATGGGGAGGGGGAGAGGTAGTCGTGATCAGTTGGATCTTCCAAACAAACTGGATTCGGAGGAAACCCGGAACCGACCCGACCCGAGTGGGATCAACGGCATTCGGAAGGGAGAGGAGGACTGAAAGGCTGACTAGCTCCAGGTATGCTAACGGCTCCCTCTCTCCATCTTTCTCAGTTATAAGATATAACGAACACGGAATCCGAATCTCCTAAAATCCCAAGAGAATCTCGATTTCTTCTTCAAGGGCTTTGGTATTTGATTTCTTGTTTTTTGGGTTTTCATTTTTTGACTTACCTCCGTTTTTGTGGCTCTCGCTGATGAGCAATGAACGAGGAAGATGATAACAGATTGAAGAAGAGGAAGAAGAAGAGACTGTTAGGCGCCGACAGGAGGAAGCGCCTCCTTCGCCTAAAATGCTATGTCCAAAACTATGACTGGGGGGTTATTGGGTGTAATTCCCAAGTCGCGAGGCTGTTTTCGCTTAATTCAGGTTCCGGCACTCCCGATCCGAGGGAATGTTACGCCGAGTTCTGGATTGGAACGCATAAATCCGGCCCCTCATTTGTTGTTTTTGGACGGGATTATAATAATGCCGCCGCTGCGCTTGGATCCAACGCCGTGAGTCTCAAGGATTGGATCTCCGTCGATCCGGGTGCTGTGCTGGGTGATAAGGTTGCGAGGAAATGGGGAGGCGATCTTCCCTTTCTCTTCAAGGTCCGCTTTATTTTCCATTAGATCCTTGGGGAATGTGTTTTGTCGATGTACTTGATTTCTTTCAAGATTTCAGAAATGCACACAAATTTCGGGTTTTAATTATGCTCTAATTGTGTCGGTGTGGGAGATAATCAGGTTAAATAATCATAATGCTTCATAAGCCAAAATTATGTGCTCCAGCTCTTTGAATTGTCTGTTCAATTAGTTTCTGGAACCTCAATTACCGTTCTTATTTTCCTTGATGTCAATGTTTTGAGTTCAGTTGGACTGCAACTTGATGATTTCTTATTGGGAGCATAGGTGCTGTCTGTAGAGAAGGCTCTATCCATTCAGGCTCATCCGGATAAAGAGTTGGCGAGAGCTTTGCACGAAGCTCAACCAAGCATCTATGAAGATGATAATCACAAGCCTGAAATGGCTCTTGCATTGACTGGGTTTGAAGCCCTTTGTGGGTTCATCAGCTCTAAGGTACGACAACATAGTAACAAAGGGAAGTTCTTCTGGGGTTTTTGAAATTCTTCTTATCCTTGTTTTGTCTGTTGTTTAAATGAAAACATCTTAATAATTCTTACTCTGTCCTGTTACACAAATTGGATTTAGAAAGATGAAAGAAACTCAAATCAAAAAGTTGATTCAGCTTTTTGGTTCATTGTGTATGTATCTCCAGATGAGTGAATTCAGGAAAATAAACGAAGAATTGAAGTAATTGATAATGAATGAAGTTTCTTTATAAATTCATGTAATTTGATTTTACTTATTTCATCATGTGTCAGGAGCTCAAAGGGGTGCTGAGTAGCGTTCCTGAGATAGTAGAATTGGTCCAATGTGGAGATACAGAGAAGTTCTCACACGATAGTGGGCAAGATGGGAAGGAGAAAGTAAAACAACTTTTTGAGTCCATATTTAGTCAGATCATGTCATCTAACAAGGCCATAGTTCGCGAGGCTATATGTAAATTAAAAAGGCGTCTTAGTTTCGAGAAAAAGGTAACCAAACTTGGCATTTTTCATCGTAGAAGTTGTTATGTTTAAAATTTCAATGCTTGCCACTTCCCTATAACCTGCGGTATGGATGTTAAAACATTAAACACATGGAAAGTTTCCATCTATGGACTGTATGCATATGCAACTTATTGGTGAAAGAAAGCTGCTAATGTGAATTTAAAGGTGGCTGGTGAATACTTCTACATATGATTGAATAAGCAAAGTTGGTAACTTATATTTTGTAGGCTGTGATGCAATGATTTAATTTTTCCCAAAGATTCTTATGTAGTAGCAATCTTTTAATAACCATTGAACATAGATTGTATGACAGCCTAAGTTTGCAGATTAACTATTGGCTACAATTGTTTTGGAAAATATTAGTTTTCACTGCCAATTTGTCAATAATCATAGCTGTATGATAGCTTTGGTTTGCAGCCGTAGGGCTCTTCTTCTAAGTTTTGCACCTTCTACGAGGATGTTAATTTATATGTTTTAACATGGTAGGGATAATATAATATGGGGCACGTCTAAAACTTGAACAGCCTAGGATCGATCAACTCCTCATGCCTTCCGATAGCCTGTCCAGCATATGTTTGGCTTTTAGCATGACAGTTTTAGGTCAGAATGTGTTACTGAGTCTATTAAATCGTCGCCGTTTGGATTATTCTACAATCCAGACCGTGTAGAATCAATTAATCAGCTTATGTTAGTTGTTTGGGGGAACAATAAATATCGTAAACCATTGATGTGATGGCATAAACAAGCCAACAGAATTTGTGAGATCTCACATCAGTCAAAGAGGGGAACGAAACATTCTTTATAAGGGTGTGGAAAAGCCCGAAATGGAAAGCCCAAAGAAGACAATATCTGCTAACGGTGGGTTTCGGCTGTTATAGAATTGATGTGGTAGAGATGGAGGTATTGTAGTAGGGTAAAAGCTAATGACAAACAAAGGCCATTTGCAACCGCTCAATTGACTATGTTTTCATCACTGGGCACAAGCCAACCGAATTGATGAGTTAAGAAATCGATGGTACATCTCAGGCATGCTAGCGTTTCCCATGTTTGCCATTTTGTGCAGTTAAATCTGAGTAGAAAGTAGGATGTGTGAATCTCTTTAAGCCTTTTGCTAATAGATAGTGTCAGCTCAGGAGCAAGATCACATTCTGTTTGAAGGTAATTCAGTTAACATAAATCATCATTAGCAAGTTCTATGATTGAAAAGGATACATTTCATATTGAAGCTTAGGCTGTTCTTTCTCACTTCATTGATCTCTGCTGAGTTTTATTCGTTTTCTTTCTTGTTCTTTTTTGCGACTTCTCATTGTATTACATTCTCTTTGTTTGTTCATCAGAAGAGACAATTGTCAGCCAAAGAACAATTGATTCTCAGACTAGAAGGTCAATATCCAGCTGATGTTGGTATACTAGCAGCATTTTTTCTCAACTATGTGAAGTTAAAACCGGGTGAAGCGTTATATGTTGGTCCAAACGAACCCCATGCGTATATATCTGGGGAATGCATCGAGTGTATGGCAACCTCTGACAACGTTGTCCGGGCTGGCCTTACCTCGAAGAAAAGAGACATTCAAGCCCTTCTTTCAATGCTCAACTACAAACAGGTAATCACAGAATTTATGTTAAGCTGGTGTCTTATAATGCTGCAATTCTAATGTGTTAAAATGATTATCGCCTTTTGGTTCTTGTTTTCGATGTCCTCTTTCTCGAAGTCCCGCTGCAGGCTTACCTGTTAAAGTTAATTAATCTGCATTTTGGATTTGGACCTGTAGTCTTACATGCACAAATATGTAACCACTAATCACAACAGGGCATTTTTGCTTACCAGCAGACAGTAGTGAAAAACGCCTCAGCCATACAATTTTGAAGGACTCGATTCATATCGATCTTGGTTTTCACCTCCTCTAATCTGCCCTGTCCTACGCCTTAGAGTTTTACTGAGAAGATTGTCCATAATCATTTCATTCAACATACAGGGTTTTCCTGAAATTTTGCAAGGAGTTTCGTTGAACGAATACACGAGAAAATACGCCCCTCCCTTCGATGAATTCGAAGTTGATCGCTGTATTCTTCCTCAAGCTGCATCTGTGTCTTTCCCTTCTGTCCCAGGACCATCTCTCTTTCTGGTGATATCTGGAAAAGGAACAATTATCACAGGCTATTCTGAAGAAAGTACATTACAAGAGGGTGAAGTTCTGTTCGTTCCAGCATACATGGAGGTCAGTATAACATCTGGAGCTACAGAATTACATGTGTACAGAGCTGGCGTCAACAACAGATTCTTTGGGGACTTGTGATTTATACAAGTACAAATGAATAAATCAAGAATATACAGGAAGAAAACAGGTTATAAGAAGAATTGTTGCATTGATTGTTCATTGTGATCTGCTCATTTTTATTGATTAAATTGCATCAAAGTTGTGCATATACATTCGTTAGAAGTATAAATAGGGTATTGAGTTATATTCAAGTTCTTCATGATTGCAGATTGCTTCATTTATTTCTGTCCTGTCAGTTTATCAGCTGTGTCAGTGGATATTCAAAGTTCTTTGTTTGGGAATATTAGATCAAAGGCTCCCTTCCCAATCCTCATTTCAGGATAGATCAAGAGGGCACAGGGGTTATGCAGTAGGCCATTTGGGTGTGATTTGCAGTGGTTTTATACAATTCTTTTATAGTTTTCATATGCTTATAAGACTTGTTTTAATGGTATGGATTAATATAATATTAGAAAGAAATACTTGTGATTATATAGACGACCACTTTTCATTAATGCGGATGATATAATCTTTTTCGTCTCCGTTTTTTTTTTTCTAAAAAATCATATGATAAATATTTTTACTATTTTGATAGAATTTTGGGGAAATAATAATTTTGAGTTTTGAATTGGGAATTTAGATTTTTTTTTATATAATGTAATTTTAAATGTTGAATTCTGAAGGGGTAGAGCACTAGCTTAGTATGCAAGGGAAGGTATGGAGATCGATACCCCATATCTCTATATATTTTTTCTTTTTTTCCTATTATTTTGTTCACTTCATTAATTTTAGATTTTAACTAAAAGAATAAGGGGACGTGTTGGGAGTAGTTATTGAGCATGACTAGAAATCATGTGGGCTCGGTAAGCGCAACTTCCAATTTGTCATCATGTTTTTTTTTTCTTTTTCTATTACTTTGTTTACAATGATTAATTTTAGATGCTTGAGTGGATGTGTCAGAGTCGTTATCGAGCCTGACTAGAAATTATGTGGGTTATGCTCTTGTAGGTTCGAATCATGTCACTCATAGGATGAATAGAAATCATGTCCCATGTGGGGTGCCACGGTCGTACATTGTCAACCGTGAGACGTTGTGATCTTGATACGCTCACGACAAGCTTTGAAGGGGACTCAAGTCCCATTCATATTTTTCGCCCAGTTTTGTGGCTTCGTCAAACCATCGATTAGGTTTGCCTTCTCCAATTGAATATCGCTTGTGCAGAATCCAAGCTTGTTTTGTCATACGTTGTCAGTGCAAGCATATTCAATCATTGTGACACAACAATGTCATATCTCATTGTCATCTCAGTTCCCAACAACATAATCCATCATCGTGATGCCGTCCCATGTCTCGGGACACATCGCTCATCTTGGCTTGATCAGACACATTCGTTGGGAACTGACCCATGTGTTGATCATCTCATACGGACATCCTAAAAATCTATTCATTCGGGTTCACTCGAGCATTGGATTCTCTCATATCCATGCTAAACCATTTACGACATACGTTCCAAATAGCAGGTGCATAATTCAACCTCCGATGGGCTAAGGCGAATGGTAGGAGTGGTTATCGGGCATGACTAGAAATCATGTGGGGTATGCAGTGTGTCACGGTCGTACTTCTTCAACTGGCGTCATGATCCCTTAAGGTGGAACTCAAGCCCCAATTCAAACTTTTCATCCGGTTTTGTGGTTTCGTCAGACCTTCGACGAGATTTACCTTCGCCAACCGAACATCTCTTGTGTGGAATCCAAGCTTGTTCAACCACACGTGTCGTTCGTGTTGCTAGAGTGATTTTTGGGAATGACTATAATTTTAGATTTTGACAAACAATCTTAAAATTATGTGCTCCGTTGGAGGGGCTAACCGAGTAGTTATTAGGCATGACTATAAATTATGGGAAGACGGGTGTGCCGGAGTGGTTATCGGGCATGACTAGAAATCATGTGGGCTTTGCCGGCGCAGGTTTGAAATCTGCCACTCATGAATGAATTTTTTTCTTCTTGCTTTTTTGCCTACTTTCGTGTCACGATCGTACTTCTTTATCAATCGGCGTCATGATCCCTTAAGGTGGAACTAAACCCCCATTCAAATTTTTCATCGGCTTTGTGGTTTCGTCAGACCTTCAACGAGATTTACCTTTGTCAACCAACATCACTTGTACAGAATCTAAGCTTGTTCAACCACACGCGTCGTTCCTGTTGCACGAGTGGTTAATGAGCATGACTATAATTTTAGATTCTAACTAAAACAATCTTAAAATTGTGTACTACGTTGCAGGGGTTGCTTGAGTGGTTATTAGGCATGATTATAGATTACGGTAGGTTGGGTGTGTCGGAGTGGTTATTGGGCATGACTAGAAATCATGTGAGTTTTGCCCGCGCAGGTTTGAATCTTGCCACTCACGAATGATTTTTTTTTCTTTTTTTCTTCTTTCAGTGTGTCACGGTCGTACTTCTTCAACCGGCTTGATGATCCTGAACTCAAGCCCCATTCAATTTTTTCATTCAGTTTTGTGGTTTCGTTAGACCTTCAACGAGATTTACCTTTGCCGTCCAATAATCCCGAACTCAAGCCCCATTTAAAATTTTCATCCGGCTTTGTGGTTTCGTCAGACCTTCAACGAGATTTACCTTTGCCATCCAAATATCACTTGTACAGAATCTAAGCTTGTTCGACCACACGCGTCGTTCGTGCTGCTCGAGTGGTTAATGGGCATGACTCCGTTACAGGGGTTGTCCGAGTGGTTATTAGGCATGACAAAAATTATAGTAGGGTGGGTGTGTTGGAGTGGTTATTGGGCATGACTTGAAATCATGTAGGCTTTGCTTGCGTAAGTTCGAATCCTGCCACTCACAAATGAATTTTTTTCATCTTTTTTTCTTCTTTCAGTGTGTCACGGTCGTACTTCTTCCACCGGCGCTCACGCAAGTTCGAATCCTGCCACTCACGAATGAATTTTTTTCATCTTTTTTTCTTCTTTCAGTGTGACGCGGTTTATACTTCTTCAACCGGCGTGATGATCTCGAACTCAAACCCCATTCAAATTTTACATTCAGCTTTGTGCTTTGTGTTTTCGTTAGACCTTCAACGAGGTTTACCTTTGCCAACCAAACATCACTTTACAGAATCTAAGCTTGTTGGACCACACGCGTCGTTCGTGCTGCTTGAGTGGTTAATGGTCATGACTCCATTGTAGGAGTTGTCCAAGTGGTTATTAGGCATGACTATAAATTATAGTAGGGTGGGTGTGCCGGAGTGGTTATTGGGCATGACTAGAAATCATGTGGGCTTTGCACGTAGGTTCGAATCCTGCCACTCACGACCCATGAATGATTTTTTTTCTTTTTTTTTTCCTTCTTGCAGTGCGTCACGGTTGTACTTCTTCAACCGCGTGATGATCCCAACTCAAGCCCCGTTTCGTCAGACCTTCAACGAGATTTACCCTTGCCAACTTGTTCAACCACACGCGTCGTTCGTGCTGCTCGAGTGGTTAATGAGAATGACTCTGTTGCAGGGGTTGTCCGAGTGGTTATTAGACATGACTACAGATTATAGTAGGGTGGGTGTGCTGGAGTAGTTATCAGGCATGACTTGATATCATGTGAGCTTTGCTCGCGTAGGTTCGAATCCTACCACTCACGAATGAATTTTTTTCATCATTTTTTCGTCTTTAAGTGTGTCACGGTCGTACTTCTTCAATCGGCATGATGATCCCGAATTCAAGCCCCATAAAAAATTTTCATCTGCCTTTGGGCTTTGTGTTTTCGTCAGACCTTCAACGAGATTTACCTTTGCCAACCAAACATCACTTGTACAGAATCGATCCACATGCGTCGTGCTCGAGTGGTTAATGGGCATGACTCCATTGCAGGGGTTGTCCAAGTGGTTATTAGGCATCACTATAAATTATTGCAGGGTGGGTGTGTTGGAGTGGTTATCGGGCATGACTAGGAATCATGTGGGCTTTGCCCGCGCAGGTTCGAATCCTGCCATTCACGTGTGTCATGGTCGTACTTGCAGGGTTTGCCCGCCTAGTTATTAGGCATTACTACAAATTATGGTAGGGTGGGCACATGCCGGAGTGGTTATCGGGCATGACTAGAAATCATGTGGGCTTTGCCCGCGCAGGTTTGAATCCTGCCACTCACGACCCACAAATGAATTTGTTTTCTTTTTTTTCCTTCTTTTAGTGTGTCACGATCGAACTTCTTCAACCGGCGTGATGATCCCGAACTCAAGCCCCATTCAAATTTTTCATCCAGTTTTGTGCTTTGTGGTTTCGTCAGACCTTCAACGAGATTTACCTTTGCCAACCAAACATCACTTATACAGAATCAAAGCTTGTTTGACCACACGCGTCGTTCGTGCTGCTAAAGTGGTTAATGGGCATGACTCCGTTGCAGGGGTTGCCCGAGTAGTTATTAGGCATGACTATAAATTATGGCGGGGTGGGTGTGTCGGAGTGGTTATCGGACATGACTAGAAATCATGTGGGCTTTGGTCGCGCAGGTTCGAATCCTACCACTCACGAATGAATTTTTTACATTTGTACTTCTTCATTTCGTCAGACCTTCAACGAGATTTACCTTTGCCATCCAAACATCACTTGTACAGATTCTAAGCTTGTTCGACCACAGGCGTCGTTCATGCTGCTCGAGTGGTTAATGGGCATGACTCCGTTGCAGGGGTTGTCCGAGTGGTTATTAGACATGACTATAGATTATAGTAGGGTGGGTGTGCCGGAGTGATTATCGGGCATGACTTGTAATCATGTGAGCTTTGCTCGCTGGTTCGAATCTTGCCACTGATCCCGAACTCAAGCCCCATTCAAATTTGGGCATGACTACATATTAAAGCAGGGTGGGTGTGCCGAAGTGGTTATCGGGCATGATTTGAAATCATATGGGCTTTGCCCGTGCTAGTTCAAATCCTGCCATTCACGAATAAATTTTTTGGGCAGGGTTTTTCCTTTTTTTCAGAGTGTCACGGTCGTACTTGCAGGTTGCCCGAGTGGTTATTAGGCATGATTACAAATTAGGGCAGGGTGGGTGTACCAGAGTGGTTATCGAGCATGACTAGAAATCATGTGGGCTTTGCCCGTGCAGGTTTGAATCTTACCACTTACGACCTACGAATGAATTTTTTTCTTTTTTTATCCTTCTTTCAGTGTGTCACGGTCGTACTTCTTCAATCGGCGTGATGATCTCGAACTCAAGCCCCATTCAAATTTTTCATCCAGCTTTGTGCTTTGTGTTTTCGTCAGACCTTCAACGAGATTTACCTTTGCCAACCAAACATCACTTGTACAGAATCTAAGCTTGTTCGACCACACGCGTCGTTCGTGTTGCTCGAGTGGTTAATGGGCATGACTCCGTTGCAGAGGCTGTCCGAGTGGTTAATAGGCATGACTACAGACTATAGCAGCGTGGGTGTGCCGGAGTGGTTATTGGGCATGACTAGAAATCATGTGGGCTTTGCTCGCGCAGGTTCGCATCTTGCCACTCACGGATGAGAATTTTTAACATCTTTTTTTTCTTTCAGTGTGTCACGGTCGTACTTCTTCAACCTCGTGATGATCCCGAACTCAAGCCCCATTCAAATTTTTCATCCGGCTTTGTGCTTTGTGTTTTCGTCAGATCTTCAACGAGATTTACCTTTGCCAACCAAACATCACTTGTACAAAATCTAAGCTTGTTCAACCACACGCGTCGTTCGTGTTGCTCGAGTGGTTAATGGGCATGACCCCGTTGCAGGGGCTGTCCGAGTGGTTATTAGGCATGACTACAGATTATAGCAGGGTGGGTGTGCCGGAGTGGTTATCGGGCATGACTAGAAATCATGTAGGCTTTGCCCGCGCAAGTTCGAATCCTGCCACTCACGAATGAGAATTTTTAACATCTTTTTTTTCTTTTAGTGTGTCACGGACTAGAAATCACGGTCGTACTTCTTCAACCTCGTGATGATCCCGAACTCAAGCCCCATTCAAATTTTTCATCCGGCTTTGTGCTTTGTGTTTTCGTCAGATCTTCAACGAGATTTACCTTTGCCAACCAAACATCACTTGTACAAAATCTAAGCTTGTTCAACCACACGCGTCGTTCGTGTTGCTCGAGTGGTTAATGGGCATGACCCCGTTGCAGGGGCTGTCCGAGTGGTTATTAGGCATGACTACAGATTATAGCAGGGTGGGTGTGCCGGAGTGGTTATCGGGCATGACTAGAAATCATGTGGGCTTTGCCCGCGCAGGTTCGAATCCTGCCACTCACGAATGAGAATTTTTAACATCTTTTTTTTCTTTTAGTGTGTCACGGACGTTCGAATCCTGCCACTCACGAATGAGAATTTTTAACATCTTTTTTTTCTTTTAGTGTGTCACGGACTTTCGAATCCTGCCACTCACGAATGAGAATTTTTAACATCTTTTTTTTCTTTTAGTGTGTCACGGACTAGAAATCACGGTCGTACTTCTTCAACCTCGTGATGATCCCGAACTCAAGCCCCATTCAAAATTTTCATCCGGCTTTGTGCTTTGTGTTTTCGTCAGATCTTCAACGAGATTTACCTTTGCCAACCAAACATCACTTGTACAAAATCTAAGCTTGTTCGACCACACGCGTCGTTCGTGTTGCTCGAGTGGTTAATGGGCATGACCCCGTTGCAGGGGCTGTCCGAGACCACACGCGTCGTTCGTGTTGCTCGAGTGGTTAATGGGCATGACCCCGTTGCAGGGGCTGTCCGAGTGGTTATTAGGCATGACTGTTGCTCGAGTGGTTAATGGGCATGACCCCGTTGCAGGGGCTGTCCGAGTGGTTATTAGGCATGACTACAGATTATAGCAGGGTGGGTGTGCCGGAGTGGTTATCGGGCATGACTAGAAATCATGTAGGCTTTGCCCGCGCAAGTTCGAATCCTGCCACTCACGAATGAGAATTTTTAACATCTTTTTTTTCTTTTAGTGTGTCACGGACTAGAAATCACGGTCGTACTTCTTCAACCTCGTGATGATCCCGAACTCAAGCCCCATTCAAATTTTTCATCCGGCTTTGTGCTTTGTGTTTTCGTCAGATCTTCAACGAGATTTACCTTTGCCAACCAAACATCACTTGTACAAAATCTAAGCTTGTTCGACCACACGCGTCGTTCGTGTTGCTCGAGTGGTTAATGGGCATGACCCCGTTGCAGGGGCTGTCCGAGTGGTTATTAGGCATGACTACAGATTATAGCAGGGTGGGTGTGCCGGAGTGGTTATCGGGCATGACTAGAAATCATGTGGGCTTTGCCCGCGCAGGTTCGAATCCTGCCACTCACGAATGAGAATTTTTAACATCTTTTTTTTCTTTTAGTGTGTCACGGACTAGAAATCACGGTCGTACTTCTTCAACCTCGTGATGATCCCGAACTCAAGCCCCATTCAAATTTTTCATCCGGCTTTGTGCTTTGTGTTTTCGTCAGATCTTCAACGAGATTTACCTTTGCTAACCAAACATCACTTGTACAGAATCTAAGCTTGTTCGACCACACGCTTCGTTCGTGTTGCTCGAGTGGTTAATGGGCATGACCCCGTTGCAGGGGCTGTCCGAGTGGTTATTAGACATGACTACAGACTATAGCAGGGTGGGGGGTGTGCCGGAGTGGTTATCGGGCGTGACTAGAAATCTTGTGGGCTTTGCCCGGTTCGAATCCTGCCACTCATGAATGAGAATTTTTAACATCTTTTTTTTCTTTCAGTGTGTCACGGACTAGAAATCACGGTCGTACTTCTTCAACCTCGTGATGATCCCGAACTCAAGCCCAGTGTGTCACGGACTAGAAATCACGGTCGTACTTCTTCAACCTCGTGATGATCCCGAACTCAAGCCCCATTCAAATTTTTCATTCGACTTTGTGGTTTCGTCAAACCTTCAATGAGATTTACCTTTGCCATCCAAACATCACTTGTACAGAATCTAAGCTTGTTTGACCACACGCGTCATTCGTGCTGCTCGAGTGGTTAATGAGCATGACTCCGTTGCAGGGGTTGTCCGAGTGGTTATTAGACATGACTACAGATTTTAGTAGGGTGGGTGTGCTGGAGTGGTTATTGGGCATGACTTGAAATCATGCGAGCATTGCTCGCATAGGTTCGAATCCCGCCACTCACGAATGAATTTTTTTCATCATTTTTTCGTCTTTAAGTGTGTCACGGTCGTACTTCTTCAATCGGCATGATGATCCTGAATTCAAGCCCCATAAAAAAATTTTATCTGCCTTTGGGCTTTGTGTTTTCGATGAGATTTACCTTTGCCAACCAAACATCACTTGTACAGAATCGGTCCACACGCGTCGTGCTCGAGTGGTTAATTGGCATGACTCCATTGCAGGGATTGTCGAAGTGGTTATTAGGCATCACTACAAATTATTGCAGGGTGGGTGTGCTGGAGTGGTTATCGGGCATGACTAGAAATCATGTGAGCTTTGCACGCCAGGTTCGAATCCTGCCATTCACGTGTGTCATGGTCGTACTTGTAGGGTTTGCCCGCCTTGTTATTAGGCATTACTACAAATTATGGTAGGGTGGGTGTGCCGGAGTGGTTATCAGGCATGACTAGAAATCATGTGGGCTTTGCCCGCGCAGGTCCGAATCCTGCCACTCTCGAATGAGAATTTTTAACATCTTTTTTTTCATTCAGTGTGTCACGGACTAGAAATCACGGTCGTACTTCTTCAACCTCGTGATGATCCCGAACTCAAGCCCCATTCAAATTTTTCATCCGGCTTTGTACTTTGTGTTTTCGTCAGATCTTCAACGAGATTTACCTTTGCCAACCAAACATCACTTGTACAGAATCTAAGCTTGTTCGACCACACACGTCGTTCGTGTTGCTCGAGTGGTTAATGGGCATGACCCCGTTGTAGGGGCTGTTCGAGTGGTTATTAGGCATGAATACAAATTATAGTAGGGTGAGTGTGCCGGAGTGGTTATCGGGCATGACTAGAAATCATGTGGGCTTTGCTCGCGCAGGTTCGAATCCTGCCACTCACGTATGAGAATTTTTAACATCTTTTTTTTCTTTTAGTGTGTCACGGACTAGAAATCACGGTCGTACTTCTTCAACCTCGTGATGATCCTGAACTCAAGCCCCATTCAAATTTTTCATCCGGTTTTGGGCTTTGTGCTTTGTGTTTTCGTCAGATCTTCAACGAGATTTACCTTTGCCAACCAAACATCACTTGTACAGAATCTAAGCTTGTTCGACCACACGCGTCGTTCGTGTTGCTCGAGTGGTTAATGGGCATGACCCCGTTGCAGGGGCTGTTCGAGTGGTTATTAGGCATGAATACAAATTATAGCAGGGTGAGTGTGCCGGAGTGGTTATCGGGCATGACTAGAAATCATGTGGGCTTTGCTCGCGCAGGTTCGAATCCTGCCACTCACGAATGAGAATTTTTAACATCTTTTTTTTCTTTTAGTGTGTCACGGACTAGAAATCACGGTCGTACTTCTATGAGAATTTTTAACATCTTTTTTTTCTTTTAGTGTGTCACGGACTAGAAATCACGGTCGTACTTCTTCAACCTCGTGATGATCCTGAACTCAAGCCCCATTCAAATTTTTCATCCGGTTTTGGGCTTTGTGCTTTGTGTTTTCGTCAGATCTTCAACGAGATTTACCTTTGCCAACCAAACATCACTTGTACAGAATCTAAGCTTGTTCGACCACACGCGTCGTTCGTGTTGCTCGAGTGGTTAATGGGCATGACCCCGTTGCAGGGGCTGTTTGAGTGGTTATTAGGCATGACTATGGATTATAGGAGGGTGAGTGTGCCGGAGTGGTTATCGGGCATGACTAGAAATCATGTGGGCTTTGCCCGTGCAGGTTTGAATCCTGCCACTCACGAATGAGAATTTTTAACATCTTTTTTTTCTTTTAGTGTGTCACGGACTAGAAATCACGGTCGTACT